GGGAGTCTGAGTGTTCTTTTCTGTTGTCTTTGTTTCTGGGATTGGGAAAGTGAGTGTCTAATTTCTGTTATTGTTGGCAGTATGCACACAATCACAGTGCTAAATAAGTAAAGGACCTGGTTGACAGAGTGTGGATGAGAGAAATAAATATTGATCTTTTCTGTTTGTAAAATAAGAATATAGCAATTATTACCTATAAACTGGTTAACAAGATTTAAATTACATGTTATGCTTTCCTAACTAGCGTAATGCGTTAAGAGGTTCTGATGTGATTAGGAGAAAAACTAAAAAAGAAATTACTTTCCATTTAAAGAGAATCTGTTTCCTGCTTAAGTGGCTAATATTTTAATTAAGTCTATGTGATTTTTTTTTTTTTCCTTTCTTTGAGTATCTTTGATAAACTCTCTCTCCTTTATGTTGATGATAATTAAACAGATCCCCACAGACTGCAGTCTACGCTGTGACTTGCCCATGCTAATTGTTAGGAAGGAGACACTGACCAGTTGGTTTGCTATTGAGGAGCCTGGTTCGCGCTGTCAGCAGAGCAGTTTTATTATTTTTGCATTGTTCTCTGTTGTCAGGGCTAACTGCGTGCTTTTGTGGCCGAAGATGTTTCACAAATTGAGGCAGATGGCTACGATTGAGACACGTGTCATTCAGAAAGGGAAGAGGGGAAAGGCCTCCAGAGTGGGGGTCTGAGCAGGTCACAGACCCTCTCCCGTGCTTGTTAGTGTTTTCAAAGGGCCATGTGCAGCAACTTCATTGTTCTCCAGTTAACAGGGAAAAGAGGCTCTCGCTTTGCATGGGCCATGCAATCCGGGCTGCAGTTGTCTCTCTCCGCACTTGCTGAATGAATTAGCTGGCTTGACAGAAGTTCTTTGTATCTAAGGTGGCTTTCAGTCAATTGCAAAGCACAATGGGGCAGCTTGGCTTCTAATTACAAGTAATTAGGGAGATTTTAGTGTTTTGGAATTTTGATTCACTCATACATTTAAACGAAAAATGTTCAGGCATTGGCTATACAGTTTTATTTGCATTTCTGTTTGTGTTTTTGTTCATAAGAGAGTTAATGTGTTCACACAGTTATTACCATGAACATCAAACATCCTTTCACTCATCAGCAACATTGGGTGACTAAATTTACATCTGTCAGAAATACCCATTGCCCCCTGCTATTGCTGACCAGAACATTGAAGTGTTTTGCAGTCAATATAAGTCTCCATGCACACTGGCCTAAAAATTGTTGCTTCTACAGTTTTGTGTTTTGCCTGTTGAAGCGGCTCAATGTGATCCTGTGGCCATGCATATTACGATGTTTAGAGGCATATTTAAAGCTCTGCGTTTAGAGGCAGAAAAAAAAAAATCCTTCTGGCTTGCGTTTTTGATTGGAGTTTTCTGGCAGAAAAAAGCTAAACACTAATAAACATGCCCAAACATTGTACAAAAACATTCTATATGAGCGCTTTTATTCTGCCAAGGGAACTGGCCCAGACTGCATGGAGCCTAAAGCAACTTTTGGATACAATCCTTTATGTCTGAGTGGAAGATTATTGTAACTTTTTTATTCTTATGTTTGCTGCATTCCTGATTAGCCCCGATTCACATTAGATTGCGTTGTGGAAAGTTCACGCTTGCGTTCAGAATGCACTGCCCTTGTGAACTGCAGCAGGTGTCAGTGCAATGATAACGACACCCAAATTTTGCAAGCGATTTGGTTGTAGTGCATTTCCAAAAATAGTGTATGCACTGCTTTTGGTGCAGTACTGTGCGATTTGAGCCCATGAAAGAACTGCACTGCACCACACTGAATTGCATGGGAATTGCACCTGATTGCGCTGTGCAAATCCTAGGTGATTCATAGTGTGAACCTAGGCTTAGTCCACACAAAGATGTTTTTGCATTTGTATTTAAGCTGACCAGCTGATTTCACCTATTTGCTTTTCAGGAATTCTAGACTTAAACTATTGAGTTCCCAGCTCCTCCCATTGCCATTGCCAGTATCCAGGGGATTTGGCTCAGTTTGTTATGTTTTCTTTTTTATTTTATGAGGCAGATTAGCAGAGGAAGTCTGAATAAGGCTCCATGCACACTAGCTTTTTTTTTTTTTTTTTTAAGCTCCTAGAAGCTAAGTAGTGTCATCCTATGTGTCCATGCACATTATTTTAGGCTGGTAGGAGCAGAAAAAAAATTGTTTTTGTAGAGTTTTTGGGAGTGTTTTTCCAGTAGAAAAAAACATTGAACACTCCTAAATGCCACTAAAACACTCCTAACAGCTTTCTTTCTAGCTTTTTTTTTTTTTTCTACATGTACTGTAAAACATTACTAAAACTGACACAAAAAACGCTATTAGTGTTTTTCATCCAGCTTTTTTTTTCTAGGTTTTTTGAGCTTATAAACAACGCTAGTGTACATGGAGTCTTACAGTGGAAAAATTTTACCACTAAGCTCCATGAGTAATGAAAAACCCTGGGGTTATTTAAACATCAGTTTTCAAAACACTGCGTTAAAAAAAATAAATACTTTTAAAATGTTTTGGAGCAGTGACTATCTGTACTTTTGCAGCATGCTGGAGATCTTATGTCATTTAGGATC